TGGGGGAAAACTCGTTGATCTTCGAGGAGGCGGACGCCCTCCGAAACTTGGCGCTCTTGGAGGGGGGTTTCATCTCTGCTATTTCAAGAGAATTGATGTTTCGAGCAGATGGAGATCTGGGCAAGGATCCATAATCTCATCATGTGCTATCCTCATGCGCATGCAGGGTCCTGCAGCGGTGGCCTATAGAGTTTTTAAAGTGTACGTGATGGGGCCAAATGTACTCCACCGACTTGTCTCACGTTTGGGCATCAACATGGGCTTTTTTTTTCAGACTTTCGGATTGTGTTTCTGCGCTAAAGAAAATGAGGGGGCCCATCCAAGAGCCGCAGGCCGAACAGCATGATGGTTACACGGGGCTAGGAGGTTCTTTGATGCCTTACCGCTTGCCGATTGGGGAATACATGCACAGTCCCGGAGCGTGGAGAGTCATGAGCCATGAAGGGGCTGGGAGCCCCTGACAAGCAAGAGTTTGTCAGTTTCCCTTTGCTCGTTTTAGCTACAGTACCAGAGGGGTTAATCTTCTCCCTCCCTGACTGCGGCACCGAACGGGGATGGGGAAGTCGCCCAGCGGAAGGTGACGAGTCTGGCACTACGATTCTCGTCTCATCTGTTGTGTGACATGACTTGTCAAGGACCGAGATGAACTCCTTTGTGGCCCGCCTCTCGGCCCAGGGTATCATTCGGATCTTGATTCGCATTAGTCAAACCCGAAACCTCCGGGCGATGTACAGATTGTCGGATTATCCTGCCTCAAGACTACGCTAAGCATCCGTCAAGAAGCGAAAGCGAACCATGTCACGGCGACAGGTGTTTCAGCAGATGTAACTGAGGGGATACGTTCAGGGCATACGACATACAAGATTACATGAACGATTTTGGCTGGCGCAGGCAGCCCGAAAGATGCCTAGTGGTTTTGCCTTGATGGACCCTCTCAGGCCTATGCAGTACGCATAATGTGCTCGAAAACACCTTCATCATGCGGGGAGCCGGCCTAGAGCAAGACAAAGGAAAAGTCACGGTTTGAGCGGGCGGAGAAGTCTACGTCCGTCATCCTGAGATGTCACTCAAAATGTGCTCATTATGTGGGCGCATCACGGATTGCCTCAGTTCATCAGTCAGAGGGACTTGGGTCGTAGATGTATTCCGAGGGTGTATACCCAGGCACTGTGCTGCATAAATGCCAAAGCTAACAATCATAAGACTGGTGAGACTACGACTCATGGAACACTACTGTAAATTTGCACTGAACATAGACCACTACCATTGTACCTCCAGGCTGTTGCTGGGTACACTCTGTGAGCCATGAGGCGTTGGGAAATATCCCGATCAGCACTGGCAATCGTACGACCTGCCCGAGCACACAGACCTTCTCTGGCTCAGTGATTCTATGGCACACATCTTGCAAATTGGAAGATGGTAGAGCGAGTCTGACCATCTACAATACTATACTTAAATTCATGTGACACCTGCGTTGCCATGAAGCCAAGAAAGCCCGATTATATATACCACTTATGTTGACATAATACTAAACGCCGGAGCAATACTACTAGCTCCGGATCCAGCATGTCAACTCCATCTGTGCCAATACATGAGCATGTTTAGCAGAACAAGCCACAACAATCATTGTGCGCAGGGATGCGCAGGTAGAACGCCATGCCAGCACCCCGTCGCACCGGAAGTGAGTTCACAGCACAAGTCCTCCAGCGTCACAGAGATTTCAGATTGGATACATCTTATTCGTGCGACGGGACTGGGCTACACGATAATGCACAATCAGGACTGGTGAAGGAGGAGTAGTGAACTTGGGAAGGCCTTGGCAAACCGCTGTTGGGCTACATTCAGGCAGGACAGCCAACTCAACAACCAGCATCAGCGCGCTTGGGGGCACGAACCACGGAATGGATTCGGTTATGTGCAGCTGCATCCACAGCCAGCTGCTATCGTCTGGACGGGTTGCAGGTAGGGGTTTGTCGTGTTTCGTCCTCTGTTGGCTGGTCATGATGCCAACGCTTTCTAAGCTGGGCCACGGGATTTTACGTAGCAACATGTTCAGCTAGCGTGTAGCTGAGAGAGAAGAGAAGAGGGGATCAACACTTGGGTCATTGAAAAGGTCACATGTATTAAGTGATTAGTAAATGGTCATTGGCGCAGCGTATCGCCCAGGGTCTTGCGAGACAGATGCAAACTCTCAGCATGCAGGAAGGGTCATCTAAGACACATCAGTCAGCCCCTTACTGGTCACGAATAACTGCTTTCTTTCTCGACCGACGTCTCTTCTGGGAGCATTAATCACCATGTGAAAGGTTCACCGTCAGATTCTCAAACAAACGCCATCAGAAAGCAACACCCGTGTCATCGTCCTTCCAGAACGGAAACAAAGGTGAAAAAAAGGAAGCCGTCCAAAGGCCACGTGGACGGGCATTTGCGCTTAACCACGCTGGGGAAAAAGGCCCCCGCGATCTAATTCGGGACTTTGATCGAATCGAAAACCGCGGCACGGCAAATCCAAGATTCTGGTGAGTTTGAGATAACCGGGTGGGGTCATTTATAAATGGGGCTGTGACACGGGCGAACGAGGAAGGAATCAAGGGAACCTACGTAGCACACGATTGGCTGACAAAACAGACTAAACCGTAAAAGGCAGGGGTGTGTGTCTAGTGCTGGTAACGGTACGCATCGCATCGAATCGTAATCTCCATTTCTTGACTGCAACCTTAAAAAACCCGCTGCCCATTGCTTCGGAGATTCAAGATCAAAGCGTGCGCCCGCCCAGCCCACCGACATGGAATGGATGGCCAGATCTCGATGATCTGATTGATCTCGGCTGACCCAACCGAGCCAAAACAACAAACAAAGAAACAAACCTGAAGTCGCATCGCCTGTTGTTCTATTTCCTCATCAACTGTGCCTCATCCCTCAATTTCAACTGCTCATCTTATTTTCGCACATCTCAACCGTATCCAACTCCACAGGCTACAATGAATAAGGAAAAACCCCGAGCTAACAACAATTGTGGCCTGATCTTTTCCCACTAGCTCCCCAACCCCCCCGATCGAGGACAAAGGGCCAAGCAGAAGATAAACATCCACCTCTGGTTGGATCAAATCACTAGCGTCATCGTGCGGCAAACGATTGACCGGGTCCCGGGCGTTGACAGAATCTGGCACTTGAACCGCTTTTGCTTCTCTTTCGGCTCTAGAAAAAAAAAGAGGTGTGCCATCTACGTCATAGTGGTCTGAACCTCGGGAATGCACACACACCAGTTTATTGAGAGCTGTGAGAGCCTAGATCCCAATTAGGCGCACGGCCGTTGGCCGGGAGTTTTATGGTCGTCGCGTGCTGACCTCGTGCGTGGAGGGGATGGCTGAATAACGATACGCAAGCATTCAGCCTTGGCGATTCCGTTGTCGTTCGCAGAGATTACTCCCAGTCTATCATTGACTGGTGGACTGCAGAGATATGTTTAGGTGTTGTTATTTGAGACTTGTCAATGTCAGGTACGGCGACGTGTTTCGTGCGAAATGCTGGCAGTTGCACAAACACAGCGACACGCACGCACGGACGGTATTCGATACCCAGTCATCGAGGAATCATAATGGTGCCATCAGAGCGGTTAATCCTTCCCAACCGCCGATCTGATGGGCCATCCTCGACCGGATCTGGAAAAGGCACCGTTGCCCACTAGGCCACGAATAGCGACCGGTGTGATCGAGCTAGCCATTCTCCTCGCTTGACCGCTTCCTTAGTGGCTAGCTGTACCCTTGTCCATTCCAGTTACGGACCGGGCACGTTTCTTGTCAGCGCGCGATGGACACGATATAACGCGACTACCCTACTTTCCTAAGGCCACTACCCCCCCACCACTTTAAGCCTAAAACAGTAACGCGCGCGGGCACCAATTCTTGGCCGACCCACCACGACATGTACCTCGATTTTTGCCTGTCAACTGTCAAGGCCCGTCAGGGCTATGTGTATAACGCACACAATTTTCTTAGTAATCGCCATTTTCCCCAGTACTTGCAGACTGCACCGAAACAGCGCTATCAGGCGCTGTTAGGCTTAGTAATCTAAAAGATAGACTTACCCTCCTTTTTTTTCGCGCGTATAAAAAAACAATACCTAAGCCGGGATTTGAACCCGGGTTGAAGGCTTACCTAACTACCTAATCGCCCACCCTCCTTCGTAGGTGACCACCACCGCCGCCGAGAGCTACAGCTACTGTTAACGGTCTCTAAGCACCTCTACTTATAATAGTAAACATCAACACCACACAACACCACTAAGTACAGCAAGATAGGTAATACGTAGTACCTTACTAAGGTGGATATCGGTAATAAGGTATATAAGGCACGTAATAGTAGCAACATAGTTAATAGTAGTAATAGTAGTAGTAGCTTTACTACGTTACGTAGAGGAATAAGTAATAAAGAAGATGGTAGCTTTACTTTATAAGTAAGATACTCTTTACGTAAGATACTCTTTAAGCTAGATCTATTATATAGAATAGATTAGATTTACTACGTAAAAACCTACGATTCTATAAATTAGGTTTACTACGTGGAATAGATTAGATTTACTACGTAAGAATCGTAAGATTTACTACGTAAGAATCGTAAGAATCTATAAGTTGGATTTACTACGTAGAATCGATTGAATTGACCGTAAGAATCGTAAGGATCTATAGGTTGGATTTACTACGTAGAATCGATTAAATTAACTGCGTAAGAATCGTAAGATTTACTACGTAAAACCCTACGAATCTATAAATTAGATTTACTACGTAAAACCCTACGATTCTATAGATTAGATTAACTACGTAAGAATCTACGATTCTTTAGAGGATTTACTACGTAAAACCCTACGATTCTATAGATTGGATTAACTACGTAAAAATCTACGGTTTCTTTAGAGGATTTACTACGTAAAACCCTACGATTCTTTAATAGATTAACTACGTAAGAATTACCGAATCTAAGAGTAGAAATCGAAAGAAATTAGGCCTTAGTTAGGAATCGAACCTACGCTTTTAGCGCCTTATCGTATACTATCCTTTATCTTATCCTTATATAAAAGAGCCTATACGTTAAGCCCAACGTCTTTTACCACTAAGCTACTAAGGCCTTAGTAGTATCTATTAGTATAATAAGCTTAAGTATTTACGTTACGATGATTCTCGTTGTTTGATAGCGCCTAACAACGCTGTTTCGGTGTAGTCTACAAGTACTAGGGAAAATAGCGATTACTAAGAAAATTATATGCGTTATATATATAGCCCTGACGGGCCTTGACAGTTGACAGGCAAAAATCGAGGTATATGTCGTGGTGGGTCGGCCAAGAATTGGTGCCCGCGCGCGTTACTGTTTTAGGCTTAAAGTGGTGGGGGGGTAGTGGCCTTAGGAAAGTAGGGTAGTCGCGTTATGTGCTGTCCGCGCGATGCACCGGCATCGAAGTCTTCTTATTCTGGGCAATGCTTCTTACAAGTGCAGATTGCGAACATTCCAGCCGTGTCAGCCTGCCGGGACCCCGTGATGTCCACCCTCATCTTGTTGACATTGACAGGAATCTCGCGCTTTTAGCACCACAGCTCTGATGCCTACCTGATACGGAACTAGTTGGGCCAATATGGTGCTTCTTCGTGGCAAGCCCACACTGTCTCAGATGAGCTGAGGCTGGGTGAGACCGCCATCAACGATTTTGGAATGCGTGTCTCAAGCCACTATCTTGCGCTACTAACCGACGCAGCCACGTGAGATCAAAGAGGGCAGAGATCGACGACCCTGGCGTGTTACCGGTCACCTGCACGGTCCATCGCGTTATGCTGCTTCGTTGGCATGAAGAGTTTTGCATAATGCAGCCATCAGTCCCTACCGGCATCGACGCTCTCAGCGTCAAGAAGCAACTTCTACAATGCTTTGGTCGAAATCTCCAGGTTGGAACGAAGAGGGTATGACCCGGGCTTTACAATAGATTAACGACGGACTCAATGTCCAACTCTGTCAGCCCCTGGACACGAATCCGGACAGCAACTTCGGCGCCATAAACCAGCCGTACCATGAGCTCCATGACCAGATACACTTCGCATTCTGAACATGAAGTCACAACATTCTTGCATAAACCCAAAACACCCTGTAGAACCGCATCCCCTTCCATTCTCACTCGTCCGATCCATCTCCCACCTTCCAGCCCGCATCAATCGTTTGCACATGTAACACCCTTCCACCGCATGCACCACTTGGGGGCGTCGCCCTGCAAAACATCTCACAATGAACGAGCCCGTGTCCAACGAGTATGATAATTCTCCTCGCCAACGGGTAGCACTTACCAGCAGGGAATATGCTTGCGAGCCGGCAACCCTTCCCACATGTCGTAGTCTGTACCCCCTATGTCCCCGATGAGAATGTCTCATCCTCCCCCTAGGTATAGGGTCCTATCCCAATCGAAGCGTTGCACATACACAGCACACACCCGCATGACTACACAAGATAAGAGATCAAGAGCCCCCTTCGAATCTTGGACTACCCCCTTCCCCCTGGAGTTTAAGACACGGAGAAAGCCATCATGTCCCACGGCCGCATCTGATCCAATCCCACTCCCCAGCCTACAGTAGCAGACGCCGGCGCGCAGTAGCCCCAGATCCGTGGGCTGAGATCGAGGAGGACAAAGACCCCCCGATCTGATCTCGTACAGGATGTTTCGGGCTGCGGGTTGTTGTGCTCGATGAGGGAACCCCCTTTCGTTGTGGATTCGTTCCAGGCCACGGTACGGTGGATCAGAGGCTCCAGAGAAAGAGGGTAGGAAGGAGGGGGATGAGACCACCAGACGTGGGTTTACGTGCGTTAGGGATCGAAGTAGGACAAAAGGAGGGGGGAAGGGGCTGAGATTGGCGAGGGTGGTACCAGGTCCGATCGGCTAGCGGAATGCGCCTTGCCCACCGGCGTGTTACGGAGTGAGATGCTGATGTGCTTGAAGGGTGTGTCTGGCGAAAGGCAATAGGGCTGTGCTGGATAAGACTCAGTTTGAGGTGGTCGACGAATAAGCGTGTTGAATGGCTTAGGGCTCATGAGAGGGACTATATGAGCTAGGAGCAGACAACAAGGGAGACGAGAAGCGTCACGTCACCTCAGATCTGTGGAGGGTTGCACTACCGTACCTCGTCTATTGGTTCCTCTTCTCCATCAGATTCGATGCAACGGACCTTGATTAGCCATGGCTTCTAACCCTCCCTTGCACGTCCCTGTTTTCTTTGGTCAGTTTGTTGGATGCGGATGAACCGTCCTACTCACACTGAATAGGCTTCATAGACTGTGGTAAGCACGTAGAACATTCTTCAGGAAACATATAGGAAGAAACCGTTTAGCAGGAACATCCTAGGGTATAGCAAGGAACCAGTAAACAAGCTCGTCAAGTCCCCCCCCTTGGCAAGAAACCTCGCAATCACGCCAGTTGCCGTGATCCCCCGTTCATTTCAGGTTACCCTAGCGAGCAAAAACCGAAAACCCCAAGCATTCCCTTTCCAACCATCCAGTATAAACCCAATAGCTCAATCTAACCCCATAACCCTTTTCCCCGATCCACCCATGTCCTCACTGTAACAAGTTCGAATTCTCATTCAGCGTCCCAAACAACCCCTCAATCTCCCTCTCCACCGCCTTGAGCTCCTGCGCCACCTGGCCCGTAACCAGCGCGTAGGCGTACAGCAGCGCGTAATCCTTCTCCTCGACCGTCGTCTCCAACGGGTTCCTACCCCCGACGCCGTCTTCTCTCTTGTGAGTTTCCATCTGCTGTTTCCGAAAGAGGAAGATCTTGCCCAGCAACCTGTCCCTGGTCGTCATGACGCTGGGGATGGCGTCGGTGAGGGGATACTCGAGCATGAGGCTGCTGGCGAGGACCTGGAAGACGTGACAGATGCGCGCGCAGAGCTGCTCTCTCTCGTCAGCCGTAAATCGGAGGAGGGCGCGCTCGCCATCGGTCAGACGGCCTTTGCGGTGGGTGACGAGGCTCATGGCGTAAAAGGCGTCGAGGATCCGCTTGGTGCTCTGCATTAGTCGGCCCGTGGCCTTGTACGGGAAGGGACCGCGGAGTTCGAATTCGGACTTGGCGCTCTCTCGCAGGGCGTCGAGGCGAGCGGCGTATTTCTGGAGAGCTTGCTGTTCGCCGGTTTTGAGGTAGGATCGGGAGCAATGCGACCTAAGTAGGATGGCCAGGGGTCCGCGCTTCCAAATCAGGCCCATTTGGAGGTAGAGGACGGATAGACCTTCCTTGAACTTTCGACGGGCTGAAATGGGCCAGATAAGGCGACAGACAATCAGGCCCCAGAGGATACCGGCCGTCACGGCAATGGCACGGTGTTTGACAATTTCGGTTATAATGGGGGAGATGCCGCCTTCATCGTCGTCGTCATCGTCGACCTTTTGAGATAAGGAGTAGGCGTATAGGGTCGAGACATTGTAGGCTAGGAGGGTAATACGTCCTAGCGGGGCTTGTCCCTTGGCAACGATCATCCAGAAGGACCAGAAAGCGACCAGGTAGCCTAGGCAGATAAGGCCAATAGCATTGCCTTGGGTGACCTTCCAGTTCACGACCGAGGCACTAGCTCCAATGAGGGTGCCGACGAAGCGCGACCACCCCGTAGTGTTGGACGCGCCCACGGTCATGGAGCAGACAATCATGAAGGAAAGCAGACCCCATTCGCCCCGCCAGTGCTGGTAGGTATCTCGTGTTTCCGGGATAAAAGCAAACATGGCCCAGAATGCGGCCCCAAGGCCGACCTTGATGCCGAAGCGGACATCGTCCCTGGCAAGCTTGCGTAACAAGGTGAGGATCCTCTGCGACAGTGATGCCACGACGGTGTTCACTGTTGGCGCGGCGTCCCAGGCATAAGTGTCTCGTCGTTGGAGCATGGACTCGGGGATGCCCCGGGGTATCGCCGTTTTCTTGATGGGCTTGATCAGGCTCTCGCTCTCTTCGGGCTCGAATGGTAACCGAGAAAGAGGCAGTGATCCCCGCCGGCCATTCTCGTCTCTCCACCACATTAGCCATCTCCATGTCCGCTTGTTGTGCCGGTTGTAGTGCTTGAGATCTTCCAGGACATCGAGATATTTCTGCATTTCCTCCCCAAATGTCTGCAGACTGAAACTGAAATGCCCACAGGCAGCTGCTACTTCTTCAAAGTCGGCCTGGATTTTCTCGCTCCTGTCACGACCGATTTCCAAACTGGCGTATAGCTCCTGCAGCGCATTTGCTCTGTGGATGTTGAACAGGCTCAGGGCATCTGTAAGACTCTGTCGAAAGTTGTCGTTGACCGTGACCTCGTACTCCGGGGCAGATCCAAACGCCGGTTCACGGAGTATCTCAGACAGAGTGTATGCCAAAGACTTCATGGATGGCCCCAGTAATGCGATGAATAGCTCGAATATGTCAGATGGGGAATTCAATGACATGGCCTGTGAGGCTTGGGAAGCCCCGTTAGTCTCCTCTGTGTGCCTCTCCTCTTCGCTGCTCTCATCTGATGCCTCGTCAACCGTTGAGAGGACTTTCTGTCTGTCCAGACCAGTTCGAAGAGTACCAGAAGCCTGTTGCCGCAATGACGGCGAGAGCATGGACGTGCCAGGTGACAACAATCCAGTATCCGACTCAGACGTGGGCGGCTCCTTGAGCAAAGAAAACTGTGTGTTGATCGCACTTCTTAAACCACCAATGGATTGGGCCAAGGTCTCCATGGACCGGACAACAGCCCTGTCGAGCTGATATAGCCTCTCGTGGCCAAGGAAGTACCGCTCAAACTTGGCCTCGCGCAGATTCTTCGTCATCCGCGGATACACGGTAGAATACGCCGCTAACGCTGTCGAGAATTCTGTAGACAGCAACTCATCCTCGTACCCGGACAGAAAGCCGTGGGTGATCATCGTAAGCATATCCCCTAGCGACGTGGATGCCTCCGTCATCGACTTCCGCAACAATGCCACGGCGGAAACCGGCCAAACCAGCAAATTGACGGCCGTGGTGATGGTAATGGCCATGACAAGCATCTTAAGCAGTTGCAGTATCTTCTGGTTCGAGAACTCATGATAAACCACCGCCAGTTCCTTGGTCACGACTCCGATGATGGCCAAGGACGCCA